CACAACTTCCAAATTAGATTAAGTAGCAGGAATAGTACTGGAAGAATCAAAGAAAATTGAGTGCGTTATTGAATTCATGCCACATTGTCTCAGGAAGAGATGGGAGTTATGTGTAGTGGTAACTTTTGTCCTTACTGTACTAACAAAGCTGTGGGCATTGCTGTCAAACCTAATTGTCTGCAGTGCATCAGGATAAAATGAATCTTTTCTCTTATCTAAACTCGTACCTAGTGAGGTTTTACAAATGAGAAATAGGTTTCAGAAGGAAGCTTTACAATTGATCAAAATCATTTGCCATTATTTGCTGTACACAACCATACCCTAAAAACCCTACTGACAAAAATTATAAAATAAGCATCTGGCTTTGGATTGTAAGCAGACTTGCTTGTCATGCTAGCAGTTGCAAAATGCAGATATTCATTTTAAAGCTGCCTATTTCTCATTTTGATCTGACATATTAAAAAGCATATAATTAATGGTTGACATTAGTAATTAACATTAACTTTGTGGTGCTTAATATGCCATCATTCATCCATCAAATAACTGGTATGCATAATGTCTTTGCATAAAGGATTTAATTGCACAAAATGATCCTTCAGTTCTCGGGCTCTACGGTTTAAAGTAGTCGTAAATGCGTTTTTAAAAGATGTGAATTTTTCAGTTATTGAACGTAAACATTGTTTTGTGTTTCTCCCTAGGAGTGTGCACAAACGTGTAAGCCAGGGACTTCAGCCAGGGAACGCGGCCCCAGAGGCACAGCTTCCATTAGCGGCTAAAGAGCACCACCTTGCTGTCGCCAGTGCTCTACTATTTGAAGAGCCAGCGAATGTCACAGATGCCACCTTCCCCACAGCTTGCTGATACAGCTGCAGGTTAGCATTGACCCTCTCTGCAACTGCTGGATTTGGTGCTATTTTCTGGGTCACAAACTTTCAAGGATTTTTGTGGTTTGGGATATTGCTGCTTCCAGGTAGTAACTTGAATATGCATAAATGCAAAAAGTAGATTCTGTGCTAAATATTTTGACAAGAACAAATATCGTAGCATTGAATTACTTGATAGAATACAAACAGATTGAGAACTCCAACGGGATTTGAAGCTATACAAGCCTGACTTCTTTTTTCATACCAGTCACAGATTATGATCAACATTCCAATGTTATACAATATAAATGAGAATAACGTATTTCACTGTATCTAGAACTTAGTTATTTTTGTAGAAGTTTATTATAATTTTGTGTTGAACTACTCTTTTCATTATGGTTGCAATTCAAACCACATTTTTTAAAAAACAATACATTTGAAGACAATTTTTAAAAGGTTGATTACATGACTTGTTTTTTGCTGAACCTTCATGGTCACGATCATAAAATTATTCCATAATTCATTTTACTTATTTATGTTGCTTTACACTGAAGGGTTTTAATCTTGAAGTACAACATTCCATATGTATGCGAACTCCACGTGTAATGAGTCAGCACGGCAGTGAATAGAAAGAAATCCCAGTCTGATCTTTAACATCAGTAGCTAGCATTGTATTCTGTAGTTACAATGAAATCTTGTATCCATTTAACTAACATTTAGAGAAGTGAAATATAAAATATTTTTTTTCCCATCATGATATGAATTAGATAAAGTTACAAGCTCGGAAGTACTCAGTAACAGAAAAGTTAAAAGACCCTTCGCTTGAAGCAGCTCTGCAGTAGTTAGTAGGTAACACTAATGAAGGAGACAGTGTGCAACGGCAGTGGTCTCACACTGCTGCAGCACGTATGGGAAACAGCAATACAAATCAAAGGAAGAGGTTGTTAATGTCAAAACTTTCATTCATTTCCCACAGTGTCATATCTTTTTATTTTATATTAACACAGTGAAATAGCAAGAAGAACAACCTATTATAAACTCCGCTTAGAAGCAGGGGAGTGCAGTTGTGACCTGCTTTATAGAGATGTGTGAGGCAGTACTACAGAGGAAGGCAAACCCTTCCCGCGCTCTATGAGCTTCTTGCCTCAGAGGTTGCAGCCCAGAGGAGAGAGCAGCTGTCACAGCTCTCCTGCTCCCCCTGCCAGGCACAGAGCCTGGGACTCACATTATCGTTTCTGTCTCCCATTTCTCCCCCCACTACGTTATGGCTGATGCTGCAGAAACAATGTGATAAGCTGGAAGAAGGCTGGCACAAATTGCTTCCTCACCTAAGGCAGAGTGGGGACTCTGTATGACCTCCTTTTTTATTCCGAGGCACGTACGGAAATGTGAAGTCCTTCCTAGCTTAAGGTAGTCTGTGCCTACACCATTAATTAAAAGAGCTTCATTGATGTTTCTGAAAACTAGCCTTTTCTGTCTAATTCAAAGTCAGCTTCTCAATGAATGCAGTTTTATAAATCCTTATTTTAATAATATTACATTTATATTTGACTTGAATGGGAGAATTTGGAAACTAGTGAGCCCCTTTATTTCATTGCCTTCCAAAGTTAGTTTTCCTGCCTCATTTGATGCCTCTCATTTCCGATAACCTAATAACGGCTTAGCATTTCCGATTACATTTTCTTCCTCAGTTTAAATGTATTTGTCATTTGCAGCATAAAGAATGTGCTATGTTTTTTATGCTGGTAGTGTTAGATTCCACAATAGACGTAACAAACAGCAAAAGGTTCAGAGTTTTGTTCATGAACAAAAACTCTGCACGAAGTACTGTCCCAGTTTCTAGATCTGCAACTGTTACATGAAGATCCTTTTTTCAAGAATAAGCTTGTCTGTAGTGCGTTACTTACACCCTAGCTTCTGATACATGAAAGTCTATTCCAAAAATAGTAAGATACCACCTTTGAGTGAGTGAATTCTTTCCAAAATAGTTCTGCACTGTGAGAAGTGTGTAAAAACAACTAAGCAAATAAATAAAACTGAACCCCGTAAAGCACAGTAATACTTCTGTGTACAAGGGAAGATGCGGTGGATGGAGGCAAGAAAGGGAGGCCCAGACAACAAAAAAGCAAGTTTTTAAGACGTGTTTTTTATTACATAGGTGGTAAAGCTACGCCTTCAGGATTTATGATCTGTAGTTTCGTGAATATATTTAAAATTGCCTATGCTTGGATCCATTTTCCCTCCTTTGCATTTGGTGTGTCATGTTGACTTACAGACTCCTTGTGACAGAGACTACATTTTTAACATGTGTACAAACGCTATCTGTTAGAATAGTTGCCCAGTTTTAATTGAGATTTCTGGTACTCCCAGACTGCATATTATTAATCATAATTAATTTTCAGTGCTTTTTAGCAGAACAAGGATGTACTGAGAAATAATTAACATGGTGCCATGTTTTTGTCTCTTTAAAATCAGGTTTTACTCTTTTAGCTTTGGATATACCCAGCAAAGCCCTATCAGATCTCCAGCCACAGCCTGTTCTATCAATGATGCAGCTGTTTGGATGGGATGACATGGTGTGGCCTCAGCTGGTGTCCAGATATCTAAGTCACCTAATTCAAAACAGGTGAAAAACAGCGACTGTTTGTTATTCCATTACCTTCTCATTCCTTCATTAGACTTCTGGAAAATGTTGCTTCAAACAGTAATGTTTCATTGAGATGGTCCAGGTTCTTTACATCTGTTAATGTTCTAGGTTTCTTGAAATCATCTGGGACGTTTCACAAGGGATAATGGGTGTTATTTGGGTTGAATTGTTTGGGGTTTTTATGTGTAAATAGATTAAGATACTCAAAATTTGTCAGGAAGATAGGTAAGTATTTTGAAAAAGTGATTTTATTTTTTTGTTTAATATAGGAAACCACTTATTTTTTTCCAGTGGAAACAGTGTTGTTACTAATAGATTTTGAAAAATGGGGACCTAGACAATATCTTCAGAGAAGCACTTATGTGAAGAGTAGTACTGCATCAAAGTGAAATGCCTGAACCCATAACCTATTTTTAATTTGCATAGTTATAGTCATCCACCCCCTTCTATTATTGCTACACTTGGGCAGCGCTGTTATAGTTTGGCAAGGCAGTAGCCTCCTGCCCTACCTGCTCTTGAAGTTGAGTAGTGTAACTTGGTAAATTTTAAAATTTCTAATTAAAAGTACTGGTCTTATTTTTCCCCGTAACAGTTACACTTAAAACCTTAAATTTTTTTATAAAACGTCATGGTAAACATTGTCACAGAACCCTGAAGATGCTATATAGTAAGTCTTCAATGTTTAAATATCTTGACTTCTTCAAAACGAAGAACTTCTGCAGGAAGCTGAGGAGGATGGGTTGGGCAGTATTGAAAGTATAAGGAAAATGATCATAAGGAAATGCATGCATTAAAACTTTCTTTTTGACAAGCTTGAGACACTTTCTGAGTGCATATTAATGTTCATATAGCACAAGTTTCTGAGACCTGCTAAAGGGATGCTTTAAATTAAATAATAGGTTTAGAAAAACTATCACATTGCTATGTTTTACATGCCAATGTTGACTTTTTACGGTATCATAGAATTGTTTCGGTTTGAAGGGACTCTTGAGATCAGGTAGTCTAACTTGTCCAATGTTTCTGCTGAAGCAGGGTCAGCTAGAGCAGTCCAGTCACAGTTTTATACACCGGAGGAATTTTATTTGCTTTCAGTAGGTCTCTGAACTTCAGATAGCTGGGTGGTGGTGGTTGTGGCATGTTGTCTTTTTTTCCCCTTGCCTCACTTCTGAAGCAGGGGAGGTGAGAGATGAGAGAGAAAGAGGGAGTGTTTCTATGTTGGACTGTATTTGAAAGTGAAAAATGTTGCACATTTTTAGGGTACATATTGTACTAAGGAGCATAGCTGTAAATCAGGATATGGTAAAGACTATTTCAGTGTGATCGGTGAAGATGAGGCTATGGCCTTCTTGCAGGGAGATGTTAAAATAAGTTGAATTTATTTCCTCGTGTGTCAATTTGGAACTCAAGAGAGGAGCACTCAGTCCTCTGATTTGCCATATTTCTCTTGTATGATCTTTATAGGGTGAGTTTCATGCAAAGCTGCAGATACCTAGCACATGCTGAATGAAATAAGAGTTAGGTGCATAAATGCCCATTTATAATTCGAATTTTGCTGCTCTTCAGGTGAGATTAAGAAAAATATTTTGATGCCTAAACTGGAAATTTTGGTATAACTTAGGTGCTTATGGCTAATTATGGTTCCTACAGTAAACACTTAAGTGATTGAAAGCAGTTACTTAAGTATTCATTAGCAATATTCATTAAGCATGTGACAGATTGTTATATACGTATCCACAGATACATTGCTATGCTGGCTGAGGTAACATTTACTGTATTTGGAACCACGACCACAGCATTCCCATTCCCAAGTGTTTGGGAGCACGGTTGCATTAGCAAGCTCAGAGTGTGCACATGTGGCAAGTACCGAATTCCCCATGCAGCCCCACTGCCATAATTTCACCTAAACAAACAGTTAGCATTGATGATAGTTTACTGGTGTACACTATTTGAGAGGTTAGAGCACTTGTGCAAGAATTTGGAAAACCCAAGTTAAGTGGGTTTTACACTCTGAGGGAATCCAAACCTTGATTTCCAAATAACTGGCTTAGAAAGGAACGAGAGACGAGAGGCCCTTGCCCTCCTCTTACAGGTTGTGCCTTGGACTAACTGAAGATGTCAGGTTCATGGATCCATATTGAGAGAACTAGCAGGAAAAAGCATGACTGCATAGTCGAGTGATGATGGATATTTGTCTGTGGCTTATGTGCGCATATATGTTCCCACTCTTTCTGGTTCTCTCTCGTGTTCTCACTCATTCTTACTCTCTGCTTTGCTGAATCTCCCCCCTGCTGGAAGCATGGGACAGAAAGCACTCACACAGAGAAAAATATTTTTGCCCCTAAGCTGTTGAGATTGTGAATGCCAACCCTCAAGGAGAACTGTCTGTTTGCCCTATCAGTTGCTCCAAGGCCCATCAAGGTAAAAGCTGAAGTATCTGAAATGAGGAGAAGGTATGTCCCTCCCTCACCAGCAGAGCTACAAGGTGCTCAGGTTTCCTTATGCAAGGATGATGAGTACCTAAGATAAGATTTTTTTGGTGGAATTATACAGAGGTATCGTACTTTAAACATTGACATTTTATTATATGCTAATAAGATAGCAGTTTTTTGTAACATGATTCATGTACTTATTTACCTTAGGCAATTGTAGAGTAAAAGTTATCGAAGTATCTAAGTGCTGGGACTTCATGGTTACTGCGCTCTGATAATTTTCACATCAAACATTCTCAGTTAAAAAGTAAAAAGATTATTTTATTTCTGATGCTGTTATATACCCTGCAAGCTCTGCCTGGTCTCTTTAAGATTGAAGCTTATTCTGCATATCAGTTATTTCAATATTGATAATAAAGGTTCTGATGGACAAGCTGTGCCCTTAGGAACATGCCCACAAGCTTTGGCATTTCTTTTGCAGTAGTGCCTAAAAGTTCCTCTCCAGATCCGTGTTGTGTAGTTTTAATACTGACAGTATTATAACCTGTTTAAACTAACTTTGAGCATGTGTGTAAGCTCACTGGTTTAAAAGGACCACATGCCGCGCTTCTAGCAGGTAGTTATTGTTCTTTCCTTTCTTAAAGATAGGAGCATATTCCTTTCCAGTTTTAGGAAGATGCGTAAGTGGCCTATGTACCAGCAAGCAAGAGAAGCAAGAGTGACACTACAGCAGAAGATGTTTTTGTGACCCTTTGGGGCCAAGTAGACTAGCTGTGTACATCAAGATTACATAAGGCTGGAACTTTTTGTTGTTTATACATTACTGCAAAGAGCACTACGTCCATAGGCATCCTATTTTTTTCCCCTTTTGGTACTGGAATTTAATTCTCATTTTTTATATTTTATTTGCTTGCATTTGGTCTCCTTATTTATTTTCTCAATAGTACTTCAGCAGGGATGTTCAAATAAAACATATAGTTGTTGTTGGTTTTAACTAAATGAAACAGAAAAAAAACTTTATTAATGTTGTTCAGTGAGAAACAGATTCCAGTTTGGTTTCCATCTGGACCTGTGTTGACTTTCTGTTGCAAGCACGAGTAAAAATTCAGGAGAAAATAAGTAGATTTATATGTACATATATCAAGAAAAGAGTACAAGCATTTTTCATTAAAGTCAAAGCACCTAGGACTGACCAGGGAGGAAATCTCTCAAATAAAAAGGTGTAACTATTTTCAAGAAATTTCACTGACCTGAAGCACACACGGAGCTCATCTGATAGGAATTGCAAACAGGGTGCAGAACAGACCCGCTGTCCATCAGCAAGGAGTTTCCGCAGAATTAATGATGCGGGCTGATCTGCTTGAGAAGAAGTGACTGGAGCAGCTACTCGCAGTGGTTAAGGTGGCTAAAACTTTGGGAACACTGAACAGTAGAGGGGTTGCGCATTGAGTGTTGATGGTGCCATTGACTCCGGCCTGACGCCTGGCTGGTAGAACAGTAGCGAGTGTTTAATTGAAAGTATATACAGCAAGTTTGCTGCGTGTGGGAATGTATATACTTGCGTGTTTATACATACGTTAATGCATACTTCTGTAAGTGTACATCAAGTAGAGCGGTTTTCTTTCTTGTCTCCAAGCTGCCTTTTTATGTTTCTCCTTTTGATCCTTTTCTAACATGACATGTCTTTATTTGCTAATGCAGACCTTCTCTTCTCCATCTTTTATGTTGCTAGGACTAAGCAGACTTCAAGGAGGGTGGAGCACCTGAGCTAGCTTTGTATGAAAGGCTGGGGTAGCTTAAGCAGTTTTATGTAGAGAAAACATACATATATGTGTATATATGCTTTTATATTACCATGGGTGGCGTTACCAAATTTATCATGTTCTCTGTATTTAGGCATCAGGATACTGTGAGCAAAGTCTGTAGAGCACACAAGAGGAATGCCAGTTGGCCTTTCTGTTACTTTATTTCTAATTGGTTCTGTGTGGTCTCTATATGTCTACAGCCAAATGAGACATTGTGCCACCTTTTTGCATACTTTTCTTTGATCTCTTTACCTTTTTCTTCCTCTTCCACCTGTACAGTGCACTGTGTGAAGCTTTTTCTAGTATGGGATATACTTCCTATGAAGCTTTGACAGTACGTTCTTGGTTTCGCTGCATTTTGCAAATGTTCATAGATCAACCGACTGGTATGCTGGCCAAGACAGATGCTGAGCGAACAGTTGGTAAGTGTTCACATTTCCCTAATGTTTGCAGTAACGATTCTATATTGCAAAACTGGCAAACATTTTCAGCTAATTACAAAATGTATTTTTGTTTGTATTCCTTTACTTTTACCTAATTACAAAATGTGTTTCTTTACGCTGCTTGTGCTATTTATTGATAGTTTGCCTGCTCTGCATATGACAAATTTATCACAAACAAAGATAAAAGAGCTTGTTTCCTTGGAAGCAAAGAACAAAAACTTGCTCCCAAGGAGACAAGCTATTTTTCCCCCATGGAGAAACTGCTCTGAAAAAAGTAAAAACCTGAAGTAAATAGTCAGAAATCATGCTGTGAATGCCCGAAAAGAAAGAAAAAAAAAAAAGGAAAAAAAAAAAGAGTTGTAAATAATTCTTCCCTTTTTTATATTGGATATTTTGCTTTCTTAGAGCAAAACTTCACCACTTCTCTAAAACACTGCAGTTCTAATTATTTGTAGAACACATCTTCTAGCGACTATTTTTCATACACATTTTGTAGATTTTGAAGAAAGCCATCAGTAAAATGAAAGACTTGGTTATCCATACTTAATAGTCTTCATTCTCGTATATTTGTATTAGAAACATAACTACTTTAGACACATGTTCTTTGTCTAGAGAGATGCAGTTGGTTGTGGAATCCTTGTATTTTAGACGTTTTAAAATCATATTTCGTTTTATGATTTTGTGACTAAAGTAAATTGAAAAGCATAACTGTATACTACCAATTCTGCTGTGCTCTCTCGTTACAAACAGCAAAAGCCTATATGGAGCAGCTGACTGAAATGACAAGACTGATTTTTAGACTCTCAGAAGTAGAAAACATTCTTGCAAAGGCTCATGTCGAAGAGTCAGTTTTCAAGCAAGACCCTAAAAACGCGCTTGTTCAATTCATTAAGGTACTGTACATCTCTCTGTTAGCTTCACAGGACAATTTTAGAGAAAAGGAATTATGTATCAGATTTTGTTTGGTGTATGAAAAGAAATTACTCACACAAAGGTCCTAAGAGACTTAGTAAGTTTATATTTATTTCAATGTTTCTGTTTTCTCAGGCTGTTGGTAGAGCTTACAGTGGCCTTCAAACACTCCCTGAAAAATCTGCCATGGTAGCAAAGACTCTGGAATATTTAGGTGATGTATTAAAGTATGTAAAACCTTATCTGAAGGTGAAAGGACCTCCAGAAGGTCTGCAGCTTACATATTGGATCATAGGTAATTATTTTGCAACCTCTTTTCTTTTAGAAAATAGTTTTAAGGAATCAGTAAAGTGTGAATTATTTTTTTTAATACTTTTTTTCCTCTCTACTGTCCATCTTAACAGTTTAAAAAAGCAAAATTACCAAGATATTACAGTTAGATATTTAATTTTCTTCCACTGATTTTCTTTGATTTTTATCCTGATGCCTAACCTCCTTGTGTTTTTTTTTTTTAAATTACCTCTGCAAATCAGTGTTTTCAAAAGTAAGATGTTTTCATGGCTTTTACCATTGAAAATCACCTGTTTTACTGAAACAAAACCAGAAACACTGACAAGCCAGTGAAGGAACGTTATGACATGCTATATCATGTTCACTGGAGTTATGATAGTGGGGAGGTCAGCTTAGGAACGTAACTTCCTTTTAGAGCTGCTCCTCTTACGTACACTCTGCATTTTATTAAAGCTTCAATTCTAGCATTTGTTCTTTAAAGTGTGGAACTACTGATAGGATGGAAAATTATTTTTTGTTTATTATGAATGAGCGTGCCAGTCTGACCCACTTACCTTTAAAAACAGAGTAAACCTTATGTATCTTAAAGACAGAGGTAATGATTAGCACGTACATGCAGTGTACATCATGACTATAAGGAGTACAGTGAAAAGCGTGACCACGATGCAAAAGGTGCATCTAATGTAGTGGAATTTGAGTTTTGTGAATTACTTTACTTTTCTATTACAAGATCTGCATATTTTGATGTACAAGACACATGTCAAATTAAATGATTTTAGATATCCATATGTTGGGTTGGAGCCTTGTAAAGTAATTTTGAATTGATATTTTCTTTTAAGTTCTTTGCAGTAGAAAATGATCAATCTTTAGTCATGCTGTTGTGTACAAGAAACTGTCCTTTCTTTTTAGTTAAGAAAACATAAAAGAGGTTTAAAAGAAGAAAAAAATTTAAGTGTATTTCAGTCACTTCACATTCTGTGGACTTGTTAAATTATAAAGACAAAGCAAGAAACTTAACAAATCTAAACACCTCTTGTCTGTGGTCAGATTGTGTCTTCTACTGTCCCATACATCACAGCAGCGATAACAGGAGGAGTACTTTTGGCCAGAATGAGCATGTTTCTTTCAAAACAGGAAGCTTAGGCAACATTATTAGAAGTATTGTTAAGTGATCATTCTCTTTCTCTATGATTGATCATTGTGTTTTCTTTCACTCCACAAGATTAATGTTGTTTTGTGTTGCTTTTAGAGATGGTAATGGATGATTTTTATAGATTAATAATATCTTGTAACAGCCTACTTTTGATCTTTCATTATTTTCAAAGTATTAAACATATTTTCTTGAGAAATTCCTGTACTTTCAACCCAGCAAACTTCTTGCTTCTAATTAAATACAAACTTAAGAATGTCTGTGGGAACTGCTACATCGGAATCTTGGTTTATTTAATCTGTATTTTGGGTATTAACACTCGTGAGTATAGAGTTATTTTCTCATGAAAAATTGCACCTCACTTGCAGTAGTGATGTTTCTCAAAGTCAGAGTATTTACACATCAACACCTTTTTACCTTTTTTTTTTCCAATTCAAAAGCAAGATCTTAAAACTGGCTCAAAGCTGCACAAGTGCTACGTTAATGTGCTGAAAACAAGAAAGGTGTTCTCCGAGGCTCTCGTTTTGTGGACTGAGAGCCCACAAAGGTCTGGAGAGACCATGCTGGTTTAATGGAGCTGGCTGCCCCACATTCTTTTTAATCTGCCAAATTAGGTGCATTAAATACAATTTGAAAGATTTGAATCACTGTGTTAGTAGTTGCTGGTCTGGCCACACCTGATGTTAGACAAATGTGAATGGAAGGCAAAGGCAGTATCTCTCTGTGAAATGTAATGAATGCACACAGTAAGGTACGTGTTTATGTGCATGTGTGCTGATTGCAATAGCGTTATGTATCAAGTTCAGTTAATTTTTCTGCAGGGATGTGAGAATTGTCTTTTCTTTAGCGTTACTGTACTTTTCCTAAAGCAGCTTCACTTCCCTAAAAACTTGTAATTGTAACATATTACATCAATTTAATACTTTCATTTTGCATACCATGGAATGAGTACATGGGAGTGAGACATTTCAGTTGCTGCTGCTGCTCTTCGATTATTTAATTTAACACAATTGCCTCATTAGCCTTTTTTTTTTTCCCCCGACTGTAAATTGCTTTGAGATTTCTTGATTATTTTTGTTTACCTTTTTTTCTTTTTCAACAGGATGTCTGGTAAAGTTCTGGGCACCGATACTAGCTACTTCCAAAGCACAGCAACTCCTGTTCCGCATTGTGGATTGCTTGCTGCTGCCGCACTCTGTGCTCCAGCAGGACAAAGAACTGCCTGCAGCTTTGCTGTCTGCCATTCAGGAAAGCCTACCTCTTTATCTTCAGGTAAATATCTGAACTCTATTATCAGCAGACAAACGTATCTTCAGGAAAAGATTCATATTGCAGAGGATGTTTTCTTTTTCCCTAATCAAAACAAGCGTTGACTGAATTTAAAGCAGCAAGAGGTTTTTTTTTCTTCTTGTGGAAGCGGAAGGAAAAATGCCACCCCATTGGCTTCCCTCTCATTGCATGCAGCTATGCTGTGCTGTGCTCCAGAGCTGCTAGTCTAATCGCTGTATATAGAGAAGCTTTTGGCCAACCTGCTGTTTACTCTAGTCTCTGATGTCAGAGATTTCTGAAACAGTGGATCAAATAATCGTAATATGTAGCAAGACACTTGTTGAGATGACAGAGCAAACAAATGTTTTACATTGTCCTTGACTTGGCTAACCGTAGATAATTACAGACAGGCCACTCTTTTTTTTTTTGTTGCTCTTAGGAACAAAAGACAATCCTCTGCGTATCATGGCACTGTTTTATCTTAGTAGTTTGAGAATGCTGTTTGCTGAATCAAAT